GGAAATGCGTTCCGTGCCTTTCCCTGCGTGCCTTGAAGATGATGTGTGCAACCCTCAAAACCCCGGCCTTAATGGACTACTGACCAAATTTATTTAAGCAGGTGTGGTGGTGATAGTGGTGGAGGTGCTGGTGGTGGTGAAGATGGTACAGGTAATTTGGAGTGTTAAGTGAAATTTACACACACACACGCACACACCTGATTTGGAAGGTAAGACAAGTGAACGCGACCCTCAGCTGCTGAGGCATTTGGCAAAAAAGGCAGTTTGTTAGAGCATACCGTAGGAAGTGCATAATGCGATGCGTCTGCTGTTCCGAATGATAATAGTAATCAAATCTGACAACAGAAACAACTTGGTTTGTTTGATGTTACAACATTTGTACAATTCCTCCATATTTCGGATAAAAATAGTCAATCATTTGTAGACACAAGCAGTTGTTTAGTTCGAAGGGAAAAAGTGCGCTAGACAAATATTTTAAGTACTGTGATTTTTTTTATCTAAAATACCTATTGGTTGCTCATTTACATCTTTAAGTAAAAACCCTATTTAACTCTATTTAGTGCCACGAGACTTTACCGAAGATAAAATAAAACAATACGGAGGCAGAACATGTATTGGTGAAGTACAGAAGGGCTGAGAGGCTACTGGCTTGACTCGAAAGCCTAAAGTACCTGTAAAACCAAAGGAAAGAGTTAAACACATAGTCCAAGTATTATTTGGTCCCCCCATCCTTTTGTGCGTCGTCAAAGACGTTCCTCTTGGTCAATCTTCCACGTTGCCCATCACAATGTACACAGTGCTAAAAAAAAAAACACCCGAGAACCGACCACGTCAGTCATCGGATTCACGTGCAACTTAAAAGATCTGACTATAATGTCACTGATCCCTCTTGACGCTTCTGCTGCAACTAGAGTTTCGTCCTGTTCGGAAAATAGCTCGGGAGAAGGGGGAATGCTCAGGCCATCTCAAAAGCCTATCGCTGGTCGTTAGAACAATGGTCCAGAAGAAAAGCTATTTTATAAAGGATGGGATTTTAAAGACTTCCGAGAAAATAAGATTTTGCATCAATCTCTCCTTGCTATTTTGCTTGCACTTTAGTGCTGCCCAGCCATATATCTATCTGAGTTCTATCCAGCTAGTAGAGAGGTGATAAAAGTATCTCACGTTCACGTAATTGCCATCTTCATACAAGTTTCATAGTCAGTTCTGTAACGAATTTTTTCCAATGGTTCATGGCTAATGTAGCCTCTGTTGTCAAAAGCATTCCCGAAAAAAACAGTGCTGGGGCAGTCACCAAACGTAAACGTCATTTCCAGCCTTTCTGCTGGGAGTCGTCGCTGATTTGCCCATTTCATAGCATGCGCCATTCTTCCGTCATGGCAAGATTTATTATTCAAAACTTGAAATAGGGACCGTTGAACTTTGGGAAGGCATTTGCTTTTCACTACCGCCGATGTAGAACCCCGAGACTTCAATAAAGATAAAAAAGGCATGATACTGAGGCAGATTTAAAGTAGTCATCAGAAGAGCCGCGAATGCTTCAATTAAGATTAAAGTAAAAAGGCATACCCATTCAAATTCAATGAATTTTTTTAAGCAATGGCGCATACTGACGCTGCAGCATGAGTAGCACTGGGAATTGGTGAAGGATAAATTGACTGTAGTTACTTTTCTCGTATCCCTTTACTCGAAAAACATGGTTTTAAACAGCATTTTTATTGATGATTTGTAATTCATCGCGCCAAGGGAATCACCAATGTTGATTTGAGCCTAAGTCAATAATTTTCCTGTCATCGTTTGCATTCAAGAACTCCGCATCCAAGAAGCATCAGAGGGAAAATGAATGAGATCTTAACCTTATTTTTGTCAGAATATTTACTGGTATAACGGTATTTTCTTCGAAAATGTACTTTTTATAAAACGAAATTCATTAATTGTAGAACCATTGATTAAAACAATTCAAGCACACTCAAGTGAAGCAGATGAACAACCAGACCATGATTTTACTTTGATCTGTATCTTTAGGCGACATTGATTGTAGATCTCCGCCTCATTCTGAATCATTTAGCCATTTTCGCGCACGAGAGCAAACGCTTAACAGTAAAAGGGAACTGACAAGGATGCAAGTCCCTCTGACCCTCACATACCTAAGTGCGGATTAAGTGAATAATTCTACTGTTTTTTGATCAGACCAGTAATTACACAATCACCGGTAGTTTCTCCGTCGATCTGGGGTCAGGTCCAAATTAGCCTATTGAGTGTGAGCGAAACTAGTGCGACATTCCAGCCAGCCAGTCAGGCGGCCAAAAAGTCGGAGGGAGAGTGATAAAGAGTTGGAGTGGCCTGACATACTCACTTAAGAGTAGGCTAATGTACCGTTTCACAGGCCTGTGTGCAGTATTTATGACGGGTTGTTGTAGTTTGTTAACCACATCTGCGATAATTGGGAGGACTGCGGTTAGGGCAGGGGGCAATTCAGGGAAGAAGACATGGGAAGGGGTAGAGAGGGGGAGAGGACAGGCATGCGAATGCACAAGGGAGATGACAGCAGTAGTAGCAGCAGCAGAAGCAGCACAGTCTACGAGACATGTAACGAAATACACTTTGCGCGATTTCACATATTCATACAAGCGCACCCGACTCGTTGGCAAATTGTATCCGTTTCACCTGGAGCAGCACCCTTAAGCGCAACGTGTGCGTGTGTTAGTGCGCATATTTTAACAGAAAAAGGCCTGAAGGGACGACGGCTACAACATAGCCTCCGGGATGTATGTGACCGCAGCTGTGCCTGCCTAACTGACCGTTAGGTAAGTGAAGCTCGCCCTTGGGAATTAACAGTTCAGGAGATGCAAGCACACCGAGTAGGCGCTCGACACCGCATTGATACATTCATGTGTGCATTTTAAGTTATAACTAAAGCTTAATGAGCTCCCCCAGTAACAGTCACTAAATCTTCTTAATATGCGAACTTGACAGGGAGAGTTGATTGATGTTACATATATTTTTACTGGCTTGATGGAAGTCTATCTCATTTTATCGCTTTAATTTAAACAAGTATAACCCAATTGTGCTACTCCATTAAGTCAAAAACTTTAGTAAACTTCGCTACTTGCCAAATTTGCATCCATAAAACAGTATTTTGATCGTCTTTTGTTAAGGTGTTGACTGCATAATAATAGAATTTGCAACTTGAGCTGGTTAAACTTCCTAAAACCACTTTGTCATCATTTTCAATCTATCAGTTCTGCTTTCGTGCTTCTTGAAACTCCCCTGAAACCGAAGGCAGACACAAAACTCGAGCAGGATACGTATTTTTGACCCACAAAAACCTGTGAGGAGGAGGGTCTACTGGCGCTGTCCGGAGGTCAGGTAGCTTGGGTTGAGTAAAATGGTGGAGCCTCTAGGTAGCCCATTTCCAAAACTGAGAGTCAAATAAGCATTTAAAGTACTACATTTTGTTGTGAATCCATTCCCTAATACAATAACATTACTCACTCAAAATGAAACACTTGCCAAATACCACCATCTCTACTTTATTAGGAAATACCTTTAAACATACACTTTAACATCCGGAGTAAAAGTAGCCACGAGTTATTTCCGGTTTTTACACTGCCAATTTCACTACGTTGTGCCTACACTCCACCTGAATTTGAATACTTATTGGAATGCTAATGCAGGTGGAAGTTCGGACAATTACTAATTGCACTAGTGGCCTCTGGGATTCCTACATTAATTAAGGTGGATTGGATGAGGGTGGGGACAAACCGAAGTCGCGCAGGCCAAGCCAAATCGCATGCGTGCATACAGACATGTATGGACACTGTAACTGGGCTCGGTTGTGAGGTAATGAAGTTTGAGGGCTAGCCGAACAGTGCCCTAGGGGTCTAAAGCCCTATAACAATTAAAATGTAAATTTAACTTTGATGTTTTGTCTCTGAAGGGTCACAAAGTGTCCCCTGAGCTACCGCGAGCAGATACATTGTTTCATCTCCGTACACACTGTAAATTTATTTAAGCAAAGTCAAAAACTAGGAAAAAATATTTTGCTTCACTTTCCCGTTGAACGCGGGGAATTTATTATCTGAGGTTGTGATAGGTGTCACACTAATCCTACGTGGTTATATTTAGCAAGTTAGTTATTAAGATGGGCGAATAATTTTACCTGTAATATTTTAATTGCTTGTTCAACTTCCAGTTTTGGTAGGGAGCTACAGAGGGCTCCGCCACTGTACCTTCAATAGGAGGCCTAGTCGCCAAACCATGCTAGTAGCCAAAGCAATACGACTTCCTTCGTCTTCAGAAAAGTCTCAGGATGCTATATACTACTCTAGCTTAAATATTTTGCTGTTCTTATGCGACAAATAGGAAGTAATTGCCTGACACGTTCACCCTCTATTTTCAGATCATGAAAAATCCACATCTATTTTATTGTCTTACCAGTTCCTAGCATCACGGTTTATCAGAAACTTGACCCAGATAAGAACATAGTGTGGTTGGGTATGCTATGCAAAAGCAATCCTTTTGACTCATTAACAGGTTAGGGCTCATTAAATGCGATCTAACAAAGCTCCTATGTTGGATACCTTGAGCGCTAATTTTAGAAAAGAAGAATAATTTTTAGTTTGCCCTCACATCTTTGCAGAATTTGTGAGAGCTTGTAGCCTGGGATCCTAATTTTGCCGTGCACACACACCCGTGTCACAAGAAATTTTGTAACCATAACAATGGAGTCATCGTTTGACTCTTCATGACTTCACTTTGATATAATTACAACGTTGGAGGGTCCATTGAGCGCAGTGAAACCCTAAAATCATCTTTTCTTAATTCTCACCTACAAAATTAAACGATACTTCAGCCTTTAAATTATTACGTACCAACTCTACATATGTGCGGAACTAAGAATGCCTCAAATAAGCTCTTCTGTCACAGACATCTGACCTGTTACCTTCATTACCTCTAGGAATCATACAGCTTGTCGCAAACTTATTAACTGAGTTTAGAACAATAAAACCTGGGATAATTATAAGCTTCAATATTTGAGAAGTAGATGAATTTCTTTTAAAAACTTCGCAAACTCGTGCCTTAATTGGATAATAAAGTATCTGGGTACTATTAATTTTTTGTCATTTGAGATAGGCAAATCAACAAAGGCAGCAATTCGCGACTCCTTAAAAAGGGGTTTTATTTCTCCACCACTGCCAAGACTTTCCATGGTTGAGAGTGAGAGTTCTCATTTACACCTAGTAGGAGCAGTAACAGCTAGATGCTAAGCAATAAACTCACCGAATTCAGGACAAACTCGAATGAACTGATACGCTAATTTATAAGTATTACGCGAGAAGGGTAAGTTGGTGCCTTAATGTTATAAAACTATGACATTTGATTAAGCTGAATTCTTAGTAAGTCTAAAACAGTTACTGAAAACAATGCCTATTTCTATATTTGACAATCAATTCTTGATCGTAGTTGTTTGATTTTGAAAGATGAATAAAAATAAATCCTACTGTCCTTAAATCCCACAAAGTGGTCTTAGATAGCTGTCTAACCTAGGCTCAAATGAGACAACTGGAGGCGAATTTCGATGCTGCTAAAATACTACTAGTAGAGTTAAATTGAATACGCAAATGAACTGCTTTTGTATTAATTTATGGACAGCATCGTATGTATGCTTGAAATGGCCAATTTTTTAGCCTTATTAAGTTCAGAGTCATGAATTAGCTGTGATGACTGAAAGGGACTTTTCAAATTTGTACGGCACAATTAAACCACCCCCTATGCGTACCAAGCATTTGAGTGAGTTAAATGCATATTACACGATCTATTGCAAGGTTTAACCGCTTCGAAGTACACCCATTTTAACCGTTTTACTTACAGCTCAATTAGTAGCAACGAAGCATTTGTGATGCATCATGCTACTATTTGTAATTAACAGAGTTCCAAATGATATTCCTATTTACTTTACATAGTACCAAAGCATAATATTACCTCCAAAACTGACCTAACATCCACCTCACTATCATTTCAACAATGGGATGTGAGATGTATATAGATTAGATAGATGCAATAATTTTAAGGAATTTCTAAGAAAGCATTTGTAAACTTCATGCACTAATGCGTTTAAGAATGTAAATAAGCTTTAAACAGCATTTAAATGGTTCGAGACTGCACTACTCTCTAAATTGATGAGGAAATTGATGTAAAAAATTCCACGAATGAAGCAGCTGAGAAAAAATTAAAATAGAAGTTAGAAACATGTAAGGAATAAAATTTCCAAATATAAATTTAGCTTATTTGTTTTACTTATTTATTAATGCAACATTTGCAAACACATTCGCTCTCAGTAAGGTAGATAAATGATGTCTGATGCTTTGCTCCACTTTGATTGTTTGTTTAACTCTCGGTTTAGTTAATGGACCACAGAGGGCTCCGCCATTGTAGTTCCGCTTGGCGGCCTGGCTTCCGGGCCGTACCGATGCCTTCCAACCCATCTGTATGTCAACAAGGCATATCCTGCTCGAGTACTATGTCTTATCTCGGTTTTGGAGTAGTCACTACAGGTCATTCAATTACTATTTTTTCTATGGGCTTGGCCTTTCTGCACTCTCTCTCTAGCGCCTCATAAAACCTCTATTTGTTTAATTAAATATATATTTTCGGTGCGTCACCTGGTTTAAGAGCCTTACGGTCCTACCAAATTCTTTTATTTTGAACATGTCCACTTGCTTGTGGTCGTAGAAGCCGTCGCATTTAGCCAAATTAAAGTTATTTCGATCATAACACAAAAAGACTTTGATGACCTTAGTTCACTAACACCTTTTTATTTACCATCACCTCCTTAAATAATTTTTACTTGCATTAGGCGTACGTAGCTCCGTGGTTTTAAAACAAGACGGAGTTGTGGACAGAGCCCTCTGCATCTCCGAATGATGGCTCGTGAGAGATTTGATTCACAATTATTTCCAAAAAGAGCTGATGATTGTTTTAAGTAAGGCCAATAAATTTTTTCTTTTTAATTGTACAATAAGCATTTAAAGTAGAGTTAATTTAAATATTATACAGCGTGATAGAATGAACGCAAATGCAACTTTAAACTTTGACTGATGATCCTCATAAAATCTCGTCAGCAAGTGACACAGATTTCGGTTGACTTTTCTGCTCTTAGCTTGTGATATTTGTATCCCTAATTGATATATTTTTGGCTAATTTTGAAAAGGGATTAAACTAACTTTCAACTTATTAGAAATTGCTTATTTAAATCCTGTAGAACCTTTATCCAACAATTTAAATGGAAATTGTAATGTATTAAATCCACTTTTATAGAACCCTTAGGATTTCTCGGATTTAAGGTCTTGCATTTTAAAAATACCATTTTTTTCCATTGGGGGTAAGTTCAAAGCTTGATGATGCTC